TTTCCAAGTTCCCAGGGACAATACCATCCCTTCCAGTTGGGCTATCATTTGGGGGACCCAGCACCTCTTCAAGGTGACAGTGTGAACTCAGGAGGCCCCCAGCCATAAGCACAAAAGAGGCAGAAGCACTGGCCTCCTTCCTTTCAGTCAGCAGTGTTACTCGTGCATCACGGTGAGACACAGCATGGCTTTGCATCCCTGGGGGAGGTTGGTGGGTATGGTTGTTCTTTGGAATGCCTAAGTTGGGTCCACTGCCTGTCCACCCCTCAGTGCAAGTTTAGGGAGGAGTAAGTGGGAGACCCTACCTCTGTGTGGAGCAAAGGGAATGATGGGTGGCAGGAGGGCACAACCTTCCTCTGGTAGGCTGGGGTAGGGCAAGGAATCTGTCTGTCTTTTTCTCTCTGGCTTGTTTTCTCTGGGTACTTTCTCAAGCCTTTGTTCCAAAGAGTTGGGCATAATGAATGACACTTCATCTAGGAACTTGGCCTGTGCAGTGTGGCTTGAAGCAGTGTCAAGCTCTGTTTTCTTTCGTATTAGAAACTGCAGTGCCAGCTGAGCTGCTTCTGCTGCCTGGGGGAGCGCTGTGGGAAGGTGGGCAGGCGCAGGCCAGAGCAGCACCGGAGAGCCCCCGAGGATCTGAGACTCCATTTCTGCTCTGTAGACAGAGGACGGACCAAAGAGCTTGTTAACAGGTATATTCTTAGGAGTTCCCTCTTCTCATCTCTATCCAGAGAGCTGAAGCTATAATGACAAGCAAAAGAGAAGGTCCTGCTAAAATATTCTGTGAGGAAATTGGAAGAAGAAGAGGGAGCAGCAAAGGACCTGGGATCTGATGGCCTGGGAGGAAGGAGGGGACAGGAGGCCCCACGTGTTTCAGGGCAGCTGGTTTACAAGAGCGGACTCCCCCTCCATCCCTGTACTTCCTCGGAAAGCCGGTGCGGACCCGCGTGGGAGCCGGGAGGGAGCGAGTCGGCGGGAAACCCTCCTCCCTCCCCAGCTCCCCCAGCTGGGAGCGCGCAGAGGGTTTTCCCGGGAGATCTCTGCTCCCCATTTTCCCCAGGACGGGAAGCGAAGGGCGGCAGAATTTTGCTCAGAATTTCGGATTATTAAAAAATAACAATAATTAAAATAAACAGCAGCAAAACCCCCGCAAATCTGACAGCCACTAGGACGCCAGGTTTGGGGCAGGGAAACTGAAAGTCCGCGGCGAGAGGGAACTGCTCCTGCGTGTGCTCTTTGGGACCCAGGGCAAGCGTGTGCGCAGTTTAAAACGAGTGAAAGGAAAATTTACTAACTGAGAAAATAAAATTTAAAGGAATAATAATAAAAAAAAAACATCCGTTTTTAGGTAAAGGGAGATAAGGATAACTGGATAAGCGACTTTTCCAGGAAGGGGCACGGGGAGATGCGGCTCGCTGACCAGCAGGGGGCACGTTTTCTTTAGGATTGCGTCCCGGAGGCTCGCGTTGCAACCTCGCAGCCCGGCTTGTTCCTAGTCCCCTCTCCGGAAATCTCGCTCTGCAGATAATAACCCTGCAGTGTCTGGAAATGTTTAATTACCGCGAACGCTCGTTCCCCCCGCGCCGCCCGCCGCCGGGGCAGCCTGGCCGCGCCGCAGCGCCGCGGGCGCCGTAGGCGACTCCTCCGCGGACTCTCGCCCCCACTGTCCCCAGTTCCCTGCAAACGACTTCTCTCCAACACCCTCAGTTTATGAGACACTGCGTCGTTTCTAACACACTTATTTCCACTTTGGATAAAGGAATACTTCGGTAACTTTTCACAACAGAGATCTGGTATGTGTTGAAAATAATCTGACAACCCAAATTTGTATAAAAAGTAAAAAAAGAAAACTCACCACGCCTTTTACACACATTTCACATTTGATCCTCACAGCATCGGGCATTCTCATCGTTCCATTTTCCCCACGGTCGTAAGCCCAGCATGTGTGCAACTCCGCGCGCACATTCGTGCTTCACTTCATAAACAGTTTTCTTATAAACCAAAGGTAGATACATCAGTGCGTATTGTTAGATTTGTTAGGGTGACAAATAGTTACAAGATGCTTGTGTGCTCATAAGGAACTTAGGAACCGGGAACTGCTTGAGAAACAGTTCACTTTCCCTTTCAGTTTTGATACTGTAACTTGTCTGTCGCTGTCTCAACAATAAGCACCCGCTCGTTCACCTGGTATCCATTCTCCGGAGAACCCTGGATTGCTTCTACATTATCAGAGGTGTTATCTTGAACAAATGTGTGTGGAGGTCCTGTTACCTACCTCCCGTGCTTAAAAACTTTTCCCCCAAGCTGGGTTTTGACCTGATTGACCGTAATGGTTCCAGAGGAACTATTGAGCCATTACAATCCATCATCTAAATGAATACAGAGGGACACCTAAATCTCCTAGTTATTTGAAAGCTCTGTATATGCGTAAAAGTGTGTGTGTGGGGGGTGTGTTCTAATAAGCAGACCCCCCAATTGTCCTCAAAGTAGTTGCAGGAAGTAGTTGCGTTAGAAGTAAAAACTCACAAGTGTTAAGTAAATTCCATTTAAAAGAATGAGGTCATTTTTGTGTGCCGGGACTGCAGAGAGGGGTGGGGTTCACTTTTTTAAAAAAATTCCAAAACAACCTAAAGCAATACAGGCCACGTTCTAGTTAATTTTCTGGAAGCTGCTCAATTTTCGCCCTGAAGAGAGACTGGGGGGCTTTTTTGCCCAGTGAGCAAGAATTGGCAGAAGGGCTGGGGTTGGGGCTGGGAGAAGAGGAGAGGTGGTCACCATCCCAGGCGTGTTTAGGAAAAGGTGGCAGGGAGGGCTCGCTGTGGAACTGGGTGCAGTGCTGTCACTTGGCCGATCCTGGGATCTCTCCCTTATGAGACCCCAGTGGACTGGCTGTCGTAGGACAGAGCGCAAGACCCCGACCTGGAGGCCTGGTCTTTACTATAGTGACTCTTCCCCAAGGCTTCCGGGTCCCAACCGAGTCTGGGACTCCTGGGCTGCCCGCGGTTCCGCTGGGCAGACAGTTGGCCAGAGCCAGAAACAGCCACGGTGGAGTTCGCTCCCGGTCTGGTTGCTGGCTGGAGCCCGCAGGCTCAAGAAGAGCAGAGACTGCAGCGGCTGGTGGCAGAGTGCGCTGGACTCCCAGGAACAAGACCGGCGTCCAGACAGGAGTTTTGCCACCCTCACTGCGCTCCCAGGCGAGCAGGACGGCTGGGTCCTGGCCACCGAGGGCATTTACCAAATTCCAAACACAATATCCTCACGGATCCTAAACAAATGTGACTTCGCTAAAAAGTGCCCTCCTTGCCCTTAGATGTCCTAGGTCCTGCCCTTCCTAATCCAACCAAGCCGTGGTCCTGGCGCTGAGCCCTGGGCCCTGCTTAATCAAATCAATTTCTCTTAAAGAGGGAGGGGAGGAAATCCCCCCAGCACGGAGCTGCCGAGGAGTCTTTAGCTTCCTGGGCTTCTTCCTGCCCACCCCACCCAGAGGAAAACCGGACTCTAGCTGGCCTCGAGTGGAGACTGAGGCCAAGGTTTGGGGGTCATCCCCTTGGGAGCTCAGAGTGGGATGGAGGACTTTTCAGCTCCTAGCAAATCTTGAATTTCGTTATTCTGGCTTGTGGAGGTTGTGCATTGTCGGTAAACTAGGAAGCTGTCTTCCAAGTCAGGCATCTGAAACAGGCCAGCCCTGGCCAAGGGGGATCACTGCCAGAGCCCAGGTATGTTCTTGCCTTGTCCTGTCCTGCCTCTCTGATCAGCTCCAGGCAGAGGTGGCCACAGACTCCTCTGGGAGGCAAAGCCCCAGGGGGCCCTGAGCCATGAGGGACCAGTGCCAAACTTGCTTCCCTACCGTGCCCCCTACATCCACTAAACTCTAGGGTTTGACCTGAGTCAGGATCAATTTTCAAGATAACCTATCAAAAGGGGCATTCAACGATTGGTTGCATGTTTCTTTCTTTAAGATCATGAACATTCTCTTGCCAAAAGCTCTTTAGGGATCCTACTACTTGGAGCTTTCTGGAAGTTCTGAGGCATGTTGGCCAAGGGCCCTGTTTCAGGAATGTAAAGGAAGCACAGTTGAGCTGTGAGGAGTTGAGAGCAGGAGAGGAGGTACATAAACTCCAGGAGGCTCAGTACCACCTAAATGTACAGCCACTGTTCCTACGTGCTCTGGACAGGCAGAAGCCCTGTGGTGTCTGTCTTTTCTGGAAAACTTTCAATGCTGGTAATGGAGGTTCCCCAAGCTTTGCCTGCTTGAAGAGCCTGAGGCTGGTACACACACACCACACTCCCTGTGCCCAAAGTGGAAGCCAGCAAAGTCCAGGAATGCCCTGTCTGGACTTTCCCTCTGGGCCTTACCCTGCTCTTGGAACTTGTTGCCCTGAAATCTCTTGGAAGGGGGTGATCTCAGTTTCCTTCTGCTCCAAGGGACCTCATTCGGGCTAGGTTGTCACCTCATACTGGCAGCTGCTAAGATTCCAGGTACACCGCAAAGTTATGTCTCTTACTCCTGTACTAACCTGTGGCACTGGGTGAGTGCAGTCCCTTGGGGCACAGATTGTACCCCGCTTTCCCCCCTCCTCATATAAGCCACAGTTACCCAGGGGCTAGAGGACAAGTTCTGTTCTAGAGGCCTGGGGATACAAGGACAGTCTCTTCCAACTGTGCCTTGAGAGAAGGGTCTCCATGACTGTCTTCCTAGGTCAGGGATCACAACCCTCTCCCTTCCCAAAAAACTCAGCAGAAGCTCCTCTAGAGAGCCCCAGTGCCAGTACATTAGAGATCCACGAAAGCCAGGATCCAGTTCAAAGGTGTGCAGGAGTCACTCAGCAGAAACCCTCAGGCAAAGGCAGGGAATGAGGTCATGTGAATCTGGACCCATTCAAGCCCCCCAGGAAACCAGTAACTCCTCTTGTACCCAACTCAGGGACCAGAGCCCAGTGTTCCAGAGAGACACAGGGAGAGGTTGGGCTGGGGTCAGCTAGAGGTCAGCTCTGGGAGATGAGAAGTCAGAAGGGTACTGGAACCTTGAGTAAGGCCTAGGTAGCGAAGAGAGAATTGTTCACGGCCAGAACCCTGGCTCCTTTTAGATTCCAAACTCCACCTGAACCAGCTCCTTGACTCAGAGTCCCTGGAGCTGACAACTTTGCAGCTTGCCTGGCATTCCTGTGCCACTCTCTGAACTCTCTTCCATCCTAAAAGGAGTATGTGACAACAGAGTGCGACTATGCACTGGGGTGAATCCCAGAGAGTTCTCCGTCCCAGGAAAGTAACTGTCTTAACCTCCTTCCCTCACCATCTGACTTTTCTACTGAACCCGAGAACCCACGATCTGGAGTCAGCCATGGGCACTCGTGTGGTATATCATCGCTCGCTTGTGTCGGTGACCCTGGTCCCCGCACCAGGACCTAGCCAGTGCTGCTGGGTTGCCACCCTGGCCCTGAGCACGCCTGGATGTCCAGGGACTGCCCCACACTCGGGGTCCGCTGACTCTGGAAAGAGATTGTAGGAAGAGAGGCGGCTCTGCCAGGCTCCGAAGTGCGCTGCAGCCCAGTCCACGGGGACAGGATCCCATGCATAGGGCTCTTGCCCACCACCCCCACCTCCTTGGGAACAGGCTGTGTCCTAGCAGCGCAAGAATAAGACTCTGGAAACGCGCGATTACAGCTCGCTCACATCTGCTAGAGGCTGCTTCCTCTAGCGCGCCAGGCGTGCCCTTGTGGGCCTAAAAACACAGAAGGGATCGCGCGGGACTGAAGAGGAGGGGACGCAGGTCGGGAGAGGCCGGGGCCAAGCGAGCGCAGCTGCCAAAGTCGGTTGCCCGGGTCAGCAAAACTTTGTCTCTCAGTGCGCAGGCGCAGGGCAGGGTTGGGGGGGCAGGGGAGGGAGGGGAGGAATCCTGAGGCAAGGGGCGGGGGGGGGGGGGGGGGGGAGAGGGAGGGTGGTGGATTAAAATAAGTAGGCGGCTCGGTGCTAAAGGATGAGTGAGTCGGAGCTCGGCCTCTCCCCAGCACGTTCTCAGCCGCTCCAGGTTCAGACTCAGCGAGGGAGCCGCGAGCGAGGCTCACTGTCCCCGGCGGGCAGGACTCCGGCGCTGCTGAGCGCTCCCGCGTGTCTGGCGCCCGGAGTCCCCGCGGCCGGAGGGAGTCAGGACTCTAGAGCTCCAGGGGTGCCGGTGGGCTTCAGCGCCTCTGGCTTCCCGCGCCCCCTCAGCAAAAGCCCCAGTGACGTGCTCTGCCCCGGGACCGCCGCCGAACAAGGTAACTGCAGCCCTGGGCGCCCGAGCTCAGTAAGGGGAATGCGGGCAGGACTCCCGGGTTCCTTGTCACTGCGCGGCGGGTGCCCTCTCTCTCTCAGTGTCTCCGAAGGACGCTCTTGCCAAACGAATGCTGCAGAATCTTTGTGAAAGTGAGAGCTGGGTGGTTGGGGGTCCTGCGGGCTCGGAGACTTCCCTCGCGGGGTCCTCGGCCTCTGACCTCGGGGGAGCGAGGGGGCGGGCCTCCTCCGCTCCTGCCGCCAGCGCGTAGCGCTCCGCGGATCCTGGGGCTAGGTGCCCGCCGACTTCGGAAGTCAGTCTGTGGGCCCCTTTAAGAAACTGGAGCAACTTCGGCGGGCACAAACTTTCCCGAGATGCGCTCCTAGCTCAGGCTGACTTGCCTTACCGAGCTGACGAAAAAGGAGGGGAGAGTGTGTGGATAGCCTCAAGCCACTGCCGACCGCTCCGGGGACAGGTGCATGCCGCAGCCCGGTAGCGCTTCAGTGCGAGGTTGCCTTTTGAGGGGTTGCGCTCAGGTTTGAGGCCGACTAGACTTAGGCGCTCAGGGCTGCGTGTCCGACCTCCACCTCGCACTCGCGCTTGTAATTTAGGAATAGTCTCCGTGAGTCTATAGGGTGACTGCTCGGCGTCAAGGCCCAGAGCGTAACCCTCGAGTGCCCTGGTGCGGGGAGGCAATGCAAAGGGGTAGAGCAATGCTTCCAAGTTCGAGACCCCCGAGCCAGAGCAGTGGAAACACTAGGGAGCTTCAGTGTCTCTGGGCTGGGGACTGCAGGGAGACTGGAGGGGAAGAATTCTCTTACTCCCCGGACTGCCTCCTAACCCAGCCTTCAGGAAGGAAGGTAGAAAACTGCGGAAAGAGGGAAGGAGGTGAGGGGCTTCCTGCTGAACTAATTTCTGCCCCAAATGTCTCTAATAAGAAAAAAGAAAACCACTGTCCAGTCCTTTTTCAGCAACTCAGGCAGAAGCGGGGTAGGCTCTCAGAGCGTAAAGTAGTTGCGAGGGGTTCTTTGTTGCCATAATTCGCTAAATTTCACCCAAGCTGAGAGCTGCGCCTTGGCTCTTGGGAACGGAAACCACGTGCAAGGCTAGTCTCCCGTGTTCACAGCCTCTTAGGGAAGAGAAGGGCTGGAGGGGACGGGGAGCGACCGGTAGGTAGATGTTCTAACCCGGGCTCCTCGAAGTAATTGCAGTTTCATTAAAATTGCGGAGAAGATCGCAAAGGACCCAGCGGGCATTTAAGTGCATAGGGATGGCCGCCTCGCCGGTGGGTTTCTTAGATCTCGTTAGTTGGGAAAATGTTACGCGAGTATTCGGTGCTGGTCAGTCCTCCCGACGGGGGTCCGGACGCCTGTCACCACTCGTGTTGGGGATTCGATGTCAAGGATGATTTTCTTGGGTTACTGCTGGGCTCCTGCAGGCGCACGCTCGTGGAGTTCGCTCCGTCCTCATTAATGCAAGCAGTTAACTTGCTCACGCTCAATTAGCCCTGAATAAACCACTTTAATAGACTTTGCACACTTCATTAATGCCCAGCATAAGGCTGGCGGCAGAGCCGGGATTGGCGCTCCCTCGCGCGAGCGCGGGCCGCCAGAGCCTGTGCGGCGGCGCCGGGACCTGGATCCAGAGCCGAACTGCCTTCCCTGCGCGTAGTCCGGACCCTCACTCGCACCTCGTAGGTCCAGACGCCCGAGCTCCTTGCGGAGTGGATGCCTGGCCGGGGCGACGTTTTCTTTCTTGAGTCTAAAGATCGAAAGCGTTTGCCTTGGGGATCCGGGGACAGGGAAACAGGAGCCCGAGGGGCCAGCGTCCGCTCATCTTCTCCGGCAGCAGAAGCCAGTGTGAGGCTGTTTTTCTCTTAGTGACTGCCTGAAACGGGATCGTGCTTTCGGCCCATTCTTGAGACTAGTGTAAAGAGCCACGTTTCGAACGAATTTCGTCCCCAGCAAAGTCGTTGGCGGGAGCCTGGGAAGCCCTGGCCTCAGAACGCCGCAGAAAATAAGAAGCTGGCCGGGCCGCTGAGGAAAATAAGCGTAGTGTTGGGAGAAACAAGATCGGGCAGATAGCCCGGAGAGGTTGGCTCCCAAGAGCCAAGGGAGCCGCAAGCTCCCCTGGCCCCCTCCGGAGCCCAAGGCCGCTGGGTCTTCTCCGCTTCTAGGCGGAGGGCAGAAAAAGGCCTGGCGAGGTTGGTGGATTGTCCCAGCCGGGCACGGAGCGGGTTCCGCCGGTGTGCAGCCCAGAGGCCCGCCGCCACCGGCCACGGCCGCTTGCCTGGCCTTCCACAGGGCACCGAGAGGAGCAAGCGGAGGCCTCCGCGTCGCCAGGCGGGCTCCAGAGACCAAGAGATAAGGATCTGATTTCCAGCGCCTGGAGGGAAGAAGAGGTGACAGCAAATCAAAGAACGCTCAACTCACCTAAATCCCGGCCAACCTTTGAAGTTGGCGAGTCTTCTCCTCCTCCCTCTTCCCCAACCCAAAGGGGTCCCAGCTCTCTCTCTCTTTGGCCCGATTCGTATTTTGCTTTGCTTTGTCTGAGAGCTCCGGGATGGTCTTGGTTTGTCCCTGGCACAACCTGTGTTGGAGCAGTAAAGATTAGTGAGGAGGCCATGGCTCTGCGGGCAACACCAGGGCTGTAGCCACAGGGTCCTTGTCACCGCAGATGCGTACCTTCCCCAGCCCTGAGGCTGAGTTAATTGCAGCAGTCAGATTTGGTTTTCACCCCATTGCTAATTTAACCTGGGCTGGCAAATCTCAGCCGGTCCGTGGTGTTTGTATCCGACACCCCCAGTGAGGCCTTTTCCATTAGGGCCCACCACATAGCCAGCTACCCTTCTGCTAGCTTCCAAGGAAAAAGGTTTTCTGGGTCAAGATTGTCCTCACTCCTCCTGGGAACAGGCTCTACACATCCCTGGACAGGGCTGGGCTTTTAGAGCCTTGCTTGCAGCAGAAGGCAGAAGAGTGAGTATATGCTGGGCCTTTCCCTGGACCTAGGGTCTGCTAGACCTGGGGAGGGGGCGCTCTGAACTAGGGAGCCAAGCAGGGACCTGCGCATTCCAGGCAGGAGAATTATTCCAGGTTAGAGGAGAGGACTGAGGAAGAGGAGGAGAGGAATTAGCAGTAAAGGTAGAAGTCGGCAGCAGGGGATTAAGACTGGGAAAGGAGAAGGGAGTCCCAAGGACCCTGCACTGACAATGACTTCTTGAGTAGCCCTAAGCTCAGAGCCAGAAGTTCAGCCTTTGGGTCTCCAAAGGCTCCCTGCTACTTTAGACTTTCCTTTTCTCTGTCCTCCACTGGACAGACTGGAGTTAGGAGTGTCTGTAAAAGGTAGAGGTGAAAGGCCTCTTTGCAGAGCCCAGACCTTTCCATAGAGTCTGGAGATCAGGGCCAAGGATGCCAAGGGATGCCAGTCCCTGGTCACTTCTGTGTGGCTTCCCTCTGACCTCACTTAAGCTCCCTGACCTTGTAGTTGGAGGGTGCACAGACCAGGGCAACAGAGGCCTGACCTCAGTGTTCTTGCCGGTAGTTATGTCCACCTGCCCAGGGCTCACCAACGTTCTGACAGCCCAAAGACCCTGCTCTCCTTTCCTGTGGCTTCAGCATGGGTGCTGAAGCCCCCTTGTATGTGAGTACAGATGTTTGACTGAGTACAGGATCATGGGTGTCAGCACCCTTCTTGACACAAAAGCAATCCCCAAGGACTATGGTCAGGAGTCAGTCTACAAGCAACTGCAGAGGGGGTAGTGCCAACAGTGTTCGCTAATAGTAAGGCAGGAAAGCAAATATGAGGTCAAAGTTGAGAGTTTTGAGAAAGATGACACGGCTTCTTTGGCTTCTGGAAGCCAAATTGAATGTCAGCCAGAAGATCTTAACATGCAGGAGCCAGAAGGAGTGTGAATTGTGGGCTTGTGTGTGTGTATGTGTGTGTGTGTGTGTGTGTGTTGCTGTGAAGCTCTTCATGGGTGCAATGTGATCCCCTGTGTGTGTGTGCATGTGTGTGTGTGATTGTCTCTGCATTTTGTAGCCAGTGTTCTGCCATAAAATACTGGTTGTCATAGTTTATCTTTGCCCTCTGCTGTCAAGTCTACTTCAGAATGTGTGAATCTGTGTTTATCTGTCAGTGTGCATTTCTGTGTTTGTTTATCTGCACATGAACGTGTGTGTTCCCCAACTCCTGTTATCTTTGCAGGGAAGTATAATACATGTTGACCCAGGCTTGCCTGGCTGTAGGTTTCTACATGCCAGTTTCCCTGTGCTTGTGCCTTTGTCAGTGTTCTGTATACAGTGAGCCCTTATTTTAAGTTGGTTGCTTTGCACAGAATTTAGTTTCCTACTGGTTTCTTTATAAAGCTGTGTGTCTCTGCCCTCAAAGAGGCCCCTCAGACTAGGGAGGGTGCCGAAAAGAGAGCTCTCGGGCATCTTATGTTCCCATCTTCCTTGTGAGGGGAGTGGGTTCCCTGGGTGGGGTCTTAGAAGCTGCAGCTCCTGCCCTGGGAGGAGGAGAGGGTGTGGCTGAGCTTGAATTCAGGAGGAAGGTGACCTACGCTGAACGTCTCTTTTCCTCTCCCCCTCCCTCTTCCTTTCTTCACAGATCGAGATTGAGAACCCACAGCAGCTACCACAATGGGCAGCAAAACCTTGCCAGCGCCAGTGCCCATCCACCCATCCCTGCAGCTCACCAACTATTCCTTCCTTCAGGCAGTGAACGGCCTGCCTGCAGTGCCCTCGGACCACCTGCCCAACCTGTATGGTTTCAGCGCGTTGCATGCTGTGCACCTGCACCAGTGGACGCTGGGCTACCCGGCCATGCACTTGCCACGCTCCTCTTTCTCCAAAGTGCCGGGTGCCGTGTCCAGCCTGGTGGACGCGCGTTTCCAGCTGCCGGCCTTCCCCTGGTTCCCTCATGTCATCCAGCCCAAGCCCGAGATCACCGCTGGAGGCAGCGGTCCAGCGCTTAAGACCAAACCGCGCTTTGATTTCGCCAACCTGGCCTTGGCTGCCACGCAAGAAGATCCGTCCAAACTTGGCCGCGGGGAGGGTCCCTGTTCCCCCACGGGTGGGCTGGGTGCCCTCCTGGATGTGACCAAGCTGTCCCCAGAAAAGAAGCCCACGAGGGGACGTCTGCCTTCCAAGACCAAGAAGGAGTTCGTCTGCAAGTTCTGTGGCCGCCACTTCACCAAGTCCTACAACTTACTGATCCATGAGCGGACGCACACTGACGAGCGGCCCTACACCTGTGACATCTGCCACAAAGCCTTCCGGAGGCAAGACCACCTACGGGACCACAGGTGCGGCACTGTGGGTGGCCCTAGGGAAGGCTCACAGACTGCTTCTGGCCTCACTTCCCTCCTCCCTAATGAGATTCATGAGACCCCCTACTGGCTCCAAGTCCCGGGAGCTTCTGTGAATTCCCTAAAATCAGGAGGAAACCATAGGGGGATTGGGGATAGGTTTTGGAGCGTGAGGAGAGAAAATGTTGGGATGAATAGGACCTAAGTCTAAGTCAGGTGTCCTTGAGCCCCGGGCAAGCACAGCATCTCCTCAGCCACCTTCCTACATCCTCAGAGCTGTCCAAGAGAAGTTACTGAGATGAAGGAAAACCTGTCATGGGACTCGTGAAAATTAAATATTTGAAACATGCAACTACTGTGCCTAAGAAACTGAAGTCGTAGTTTTATTTAATTTTAAGCAATTTCAATAGCCACACATGTTCATGGCCACCCTCCGGACAGCACAGCTCTAGCAAATTATCCCAGCCCAGCTCCCTTGACTCATCTTCAGGGTTGACCAGGCTGAGAAGGAGTCTGGGCTTGCTCCTCCCCCTCAGGAGGGCAGGTGGTCTGTTTGGCTGGACCTGTTTACCGACCAGACTTGCCCAAGTCTCCTTCACCTCCCCACTCCAGCCACAAACTCAGCATTTTGCCCCATCCACACTTGGTACCCCACACTCCCCTTTCCTGCGAGGGAAAGCTCCTCAGAGGAGTGGGAGGGGATCTTGGGCAACTGTTTATAACATTGAATCATTTTGCAAGGATTAACTCTCTGTTTCCGCCCTCAGATATATTCACTCCAAAGAGAAGCCTTTCAAGTGTCAAGAGTGCGGGAAAGGATTCTGCCAGTCCAGGACTCTGGCTGTCCACAAGACGCTACACTCACAGGTGAAGGAGCTCAAAACCTCCAAGATTAAATGCTAGAGTCTCTGGGTCGCCAGGACCCTGGGCCTGAAGGCGACTCCTCCTCCAGAAGGACCTGCCCCGAAGGGATGGAAGCCTGAAGGCGACTCTGGCGGACAGCAGGAGAGGCGCTCGGGGACCTTCTCCTACCCCAACGTTGTCCCCTGGGTCCCTGGCGCACGCGGCACTCCACAACCCAGCCCGGGGCCGTGACCCCGACCGCCCGTGCGGCTCCCCCAGGACGCGGCTAAACTCTTGGCCAAAAGGCGGTACTCACGTGGCGCAGGGGAAACTGCATTAAAAAAAGAGAGCTCCGCGGAGCCGCAGAGGCGCCTCTCCCAGAAGTATTACTTTTTCTATGGTTATTTTGTACGTTTTCTTTATTATTTTTTCCTTTGACCATATAAGCTTGTAACTCTGACTGCGGAAAGAGAGGGGAGAGGAAAAGAAGTTTTGCTCCCTGGCAGCTTCAAACCCTTCCTCCCGTCCCCATCCCCACCCCGGGAGCCTGCAAAAGTGTAATCCTTGTATCTGCTTCAGCCGCCTGGCCCGGGGACACGGACCAGGAGCGTCCTCCCCCAGCTCCCGCCGCACAGCGGCCACGGGCTCCCGGACTCGGCCGGCAGCGCAGGGACCTCGGGAAGCGCGGGCAGGAGGGGCCCTGTCCGCGGCCCCGCCGCTCCGCCGCCGCCCCGCGAGGGAGCCACCGGCCAGGAGCCGGGCGTTGTATTGCGATTGGCACTTTATGCTGACCATCGGTAACGGACATTTATCACTGGAGATTTTTTTTAACTATTAAATAAACGGTTATTTTACAGGCATTGCAGGATGGGTAATTTCCCTCCCAAATGCTGGACGCAGGGCTGCTCCTGTCTTTGAGAGGCGCAGATTTCTCTGCTATGCTCCAGCCTGTCCCATTCCCCCCACCCGCAGTAGGAGGACGGGGCTGGGATGGAGAAATCCCCTCTCTCCCAGTGTCAGTCTGCCTCTGCCCCACCACGTATTGATTTTCTTGCTTCCCCGCCTCAGTGTTAGGCTCTCAGTCTCCCCACTCCCTACCTCCCAAGGGCTTTGAGTGTATAAAAAAGCCGAGCCTGAGGCACTGGCCGCGAGAAATGCCAGCATCTCCGAGTGCTATGGTCGCTTAGGTCCGCTAAGGAAACCGAGTATCACCCCTGCCTGCCCACCCCCCCCCCACCGGCCTCTGCTAGGGGTGGAAAGGACTCGCACTTACGGAGCCTCAGAACAGCACTGTCCCCCGTTCTCCCGGTCCCGACACCGGCGGCAAATACACAGTCACCGCTGCCTCCCCAAAGCCCCTCTCTCCCTCCTTAAGATCCCCTAGACACAATTCTCTGGTTGGGGTTTGCCCCTGGTCTGGACCATGGCTTCACAAGGACGAAGATTCCCTATAGTTTTAAAGCCCTGTGGGGAATGGCGGGGGCGGGCGCCCTGGGAGGCCGGGGACGCTTCGGGAGAGAAATCTGAGTCCACCCTCCACAAATAGAACCTTCCCCGGGGCGTCTAGTTTTCCCACAATTAGAGGCCGGGCCGCCTGGGCTCTCCTGCTTGGGGCGGGGCTGCGCTCCCCCAGCTCCAGCGCCCGGACGGCGGGAACGCGCAGGCGGTGGCGCCCGTGGCCTTTCCCAAGCCCAGAGCGGCCTCCCGGGCTTCAGCGCCTGGGGCGCAGCGGCCGCGCAGGCGGCTGGGCCAAGCCTCCTTGCAGCGGGGACCAAAAATCCTGGCCTCGAGCACAGCCCTGCGGGCTGAGAAAGCAGGCCGGGGGTGGAGGAGTTAAAACGCTCTCGCCTTTCACTGCCCTGCGGGTCCCCACCTCCTCTGGGAATGCTCCCAGGCCCTGCGCGGGCGAGAACTCCTCGGCCCGGACCCCAGTTTGACACTGTGGCGGGGCGTGCCAGCGCGGATGAGCCTCGCCCTACGCCTTCGGAGCCGCGCTGCCCCCTGCTGGACAGGCCTGGAGGGGCGACCTAAGACGTGGTGCACCTCACTGCTTCCTGCCAACAAACCCACGAAACTCCGCTGCGGATCCCGTCCGCCACTCATCTACGCGGGCATCTGGCCTCGCCCTCAAAACCACGACCGGCCCGTGGCCCACTGCGAATGAGGGGCAGGGCGCTGCTGGGTCTAGACCGGCCTGAGGGATCTCCGCTTGTCGGGCAAGATCCCAATCCCTCTTCCACCTGGGTCCACAGGACACGGCCCAGAAGAGAATGAAGATCCTCCTCCCCCAGGCCCCAGGATTGGGACTTCTGGGTGTGCGGAAGGAGTGCTAGTCCGTAGGTTCTGGGTGCCGATGGCCTGGGTCCAACCAGCACAGGCGGTAGTGTGGTCTGCTCGGCCATGGCTGGTGAGAGGGCTAACAGCAGGGGCCACACTGGTTCCTTTGTGAGGCCCATGAGGTTGGGGGTTGTGGTTGTTCCAAAAGAGATAAGTGTGTGGATACACACACACACACACACACACACACACACACACACAGCCGCTCAGAATGGCTTTGGGCACAGCTGAGATCCTGAGAAAAGAGTGCCCTCCCTAGTCCCCTTGCTCTTTCTGGGATTTTATCTTTCCTGGATGGACAACTACTGATGTCCCCTCGCCCCTCACATCCCTCCACGTCCCAGGACACATAGAGCCTCTGCAGTTCACCAGGCCGCAGGACATCAAAAATGCTGTGAAATGGGGAGGTTTGCCAGCGGTGTTTATCCTTTCTGGTCCACCCCAGCACCATGATCCCCACCCTGCAACAGACGGACTTTCAATATCAAGTGAGCATCCTCCAGAGAGTGGATTTCCAGTGCAGAGTTGTCAATGGAGAGTAGGGAGTGGGGCAGGGTGCTGCCTGGGGACCCCCAGCCCCCTCAGAATGCCTTGGCTTGCTACACCAACGGTTGGTGTCATCCTGATGGACTCAGAAACCACTTCTCAGGGTGGCTCTCTGCAGTGATTCATAGATTGCTAGAAACAGCTACTGCAGGTGGAAAGGCAGGCGGGGCTCTGGGCGACCAGATCCCTTGCAGGCAACAATTCCCAGGAGATGTGGTTGGAAATATATGTGGTGCCCCAGTTTACTGCTCATACTCAGTGTGGGTTGTACAAAAAGTGCAATTGAGAGTTGCCTGCCCCAATTCTTTTCCCATACATCCCTAGAAAGCCGCAGCTTTCCTCGCCTCTCCCCATCCTACCCTCTCACCACAAAAAGCTTGTTTGGTCTTAGTGTCTGTCTCTGGCGCTCAGCGTGGCTGGGGCCGGTTTTCAGGAGTGAAACAGGCCGGCCAGCTGGCAGCTGGAGTTCAGCTGGGGTCCTTCCCAAAGCTGCTGCGCCTATGGTTTGTGTGCACGGGTGGGGTAGCTCGCCGGCTTCCGCCAGACTTCTACCCAGGACCAGAAGAAGGCACAAGAGACCCTCGGCGCAGCCTGGAGCTGCCAGGTGCTTGCTCTGGGCGGAACTCAGGTGCGCCCTGAAGGAAGGACAGCCTGCAGGGGCTTCCTCCTAGGAGAAAGGGTTCAGATTCCACCCCCTCCTTCCAGCATGTGGTTAGGGGGTGCGGCGCACTAAAGAAATGCTTTCTTGGGTACCTCTTTGCAGCTAATTCACTGCTCACGTGTGTGTGGGGTAAGGGACGCAGTGGAATGGTCTGGAGCTCCCTGATGTTACCTCAGCTCCATGAACGTGGGACCTGTGATGCCCTCAGGCCCCTAGAATCTTGGTATTATGAGAGCCGGCTCAAAGGCGTCCGCCGCGTCCCGCCTCCCAGAGCACTGCGGTGCCGTGATGTCACGGCTTCCCCCTGTGGACACAGTGATGTCACCCAGGCGTCCGGCTACAGCGACGGGGCTCCCGGGTGTCTACTACGGCCTTCCATTTACGTAGCTTTATGACGTCACAGAGGGGCCCCTGCCGGAGAGAAGATACCACACTTCCCGACCCCGCCCCACGAATCCTGCCCACCGAGGTGCCACGAATCAGGTGGTCCCCAGCGACAGGATCCGCAGACCCGAAGCGTTAGCAGGTGTCCTGGGTGAAGGGCGGCGCCCGGCAGCGTCCTCTTCCTGACTCTGGTGGTTTAGAACTGTTGTCCCCAGCCGCGCAGCTTCGGTGCACCAGCGACAGCGGCACGCTCGCCCCGCCCACTCGGGCCCCGCCCCCCAGCGACAGCGGCACGCTCGCCCCGCCCACTCGGGCCCCGCCCCACCGCGCGCCTCCCTGCCCACCGCGCACGCGCACGCGCAGGCGCAGAGGGAACTCGCCGGCCAGTGGCGCGGCTCTGCAGCCCTGTACCCTGCGCGGGTCCTGGGGAGTCGCTGCCGACTTCTGCGTTCTGCGTTCAGGGACCCCAAACTCGGGGGACACTGACCTGGTGGGCACATCCAGTCATTGGCGTATGGGAGCGCTAGAGATGCAGACGGGGAGAGGGTGCTCTGGGTTCGTGCGGGCCGCAGACCCTGGACTTGGAGTCTCTTGATTCGGCGTCCGGTGCTGGCGGCAGGGGTGGGGCGGCGGAGCCCGCCGTAGGCCAGAAAGGCGGCTGCGGTCCCAGCCCGTCTCTGAGGCAGAGATATCAGCCCCCAGCCCGGCAGAATGCCTTGATCTCCCTCTCCGCCCGTTCATCCCGACTTTCTGGGCAGTCCCTAGAGCCAAACTGGTGGTAGGCGCAGCCTGCACGGACATGAGACACTAGGTTGGGGTCAAACCTCATGTCAGTGGCAGAAGAAGAATTTAAAGCTATGTTTTGTTTGTGCCAAGGCCAGAAGACCCAATTCTAGCTTTTCACAGACAAACACACACACACACACACACACACACACACACACACACACTTTGGGCAAGTCCCTGCACTTCTCTGAGCCTCAGTTTTCTTCCTCTAATGGGGAGAGTGCTCTTCCCACCTACCTCATGCAGCTGATAAAGGGATCAGAGTTATCCACATTTTGTCAATCATGTATTCATTACTTGGCCCTAAACTGGGCCCTAATATGTTGTAGAATAGCTGTGTTGGCAATGCTTCTCCCACCATTCTGAAGTAGCTTGCCTCCCAAGCTGCCTTATTTCTAGGAGTCTTTCTGCATCTTCACTTTATCATAACCCTGGGATCCTGAAATGGGATAAGAGAGGGAGATGATCACTTAGGCTAGTGGTCTTCTTAAAACCTCTGGGAAAACTTGAACCTTTTTCAATTCCATGGGGACCAAGTGGATTAATTAATTCACAAATTATTATGTTTGTTTGAGAAAGGGTGTCAGGGCTCAATGTAAGAGCCCTATTCACCATTGGTTTGTGGAACCCAGGGAGTCAAAACGACCTGGGGAAGACTGAGTTGTGGGGCAGGGGAAGGGGCCTGTGTATGTGGCAAGTGTGACTGCGTAGGTAGGGAGATGCTCAAAGACTGGCCAGCAGAGTAAAAGACCCCCTGTGGATCTGCACTTTCTTTGACTTGTGCTAGAGCATCCCAGCCTAAAGCAAAGGTGGTCACACAATGCTCTTCTGTGGAGACATTGGCAGGAATGCTCTTCAACCAGTCACCTCAGTGCTGGCTTTTTGCTGCCATTCTCTGAAATGTTTCCTGGCCAATGTTACTTCCACCTCCAGTGATGAGACTATAGAAGGACTAAACTGGAAAAGAGGGAGGAATAGTTGAATGGGTTGAGAGTTTTTGTTTCTCTTTTCCAAACACTGACTGAGCTGGCTCTCTGCAGCTCATCTGTCTCTGGGGATGTATAAAGCATAATTAATTCAGTTTAAATGTTTAGTTTGAACTCTTTTGCTAGTGAGATAAGATAAGAAGTTTTTGTCTTGACAAGG